TTATTTATCCGACCGGTTTCGTCTGATCAAACAGACTTCAACAGGGATTTGGACAAGATTTACCAATGACCTACTTATATAAAAGAAGTTTAAAGAACAAGTCACGTTCAAATTGGCGCGTGAACAGCAAAATCACCCACAAACGGGAAAAGTTACGCAAATCGTGCGTAATAAATAGGATATGTTACGCAGATCCAACGTAACAAATTAGGCAGTGGTTTTTGGGGGCTCACGATTTAACGTTAAATGGTGAGCCCCAAAAATAATGAAACGGGTAATTCTAAATATCCCGTTTAGACAATTAAATCAAAAATACGACGAAAATAAGGACGTGACCAAAATATCTTTTAAAGTTAATTTGCGCAGCTATTTCTAATCACTGACGCCAAGGATTTGGTTTTAGATTTCAAATTCAATGACATGAAAAACGAGGAGTTGCTCACTTTCTCTGCCCTAAGAACCTGTGTGTCTGACTCTGACTCTCTATCAAGCGGATTCAGTCTGAGATTTTAACCTGAAGTTGCATATTTCAGTGAGAAGAAAAGCTAAAATAAGATAAATCAATCATTTACTCACTCCATGATAACCTGGTGTATTCACTAAAGATGTATTTTCTCACACGGACAATGGCTACTGTCGGCCCTTTTCTTGTCACACTATGAGTGGAAGGTAGTGGCAGCCCAAACATCCCTTGATGCTCACCAACAGCATTTCCAGTAAGAGGACTGGCTCTACACAGCAGCGATGAACAATTTCTCAGGGCTCCAATGTAACAGTCATAGCTGTGCGACCCAAATCTTCATGAAGAAGATCATCATTTTACCCTTAACAACATGTGTTTTATGGCCCTATGTAATCTTATATGGTTAAATAAAGAAATACATTTCCTTTCTTAAGACTTCTGGGTCGAGAAAAGCCATAACAATTCATTTCAAGTTTTTGTTTCAGAACATCTCACCTGCATAGCTGTAACAAAAATCAAATCCATCTCCAATGTATCCGGCGTTACATTCACATTTCTACGAGCCACGTTTATTGTTACATGAGGCCAGCTTGTGACAGTAATTCAGCTTATGTTGACTTTCATCTAAGTCTAGTAATAGAGTAGAATTGACGCTGTAGTGTATTGAGAACACAGTAAAAGTAGTTGGTCTAACTTTAGTAATATTGCTGTAAGACCACCGACCGATGCGAAGTACTGTAATCAAGTGCTATGATCGTACCGGCTTTTTAGATGCTTGTTCAATGAATAATGACAGACTATAGAAAGCCATTGAAATGTATCTCCACTAAATGGAAAACAACAGACACATTTATCAATGTTTTAGCACGTAAGAGGAATAGAACATAAATCTCACGAGCCTACTTACCAATTGTTGACGGGGTGTCACTGGTATCGGTGGCTTCCCTTCAATCCCAAAGAAGAGCGTGAACAAAGCTTCTGTGACAGGCAAGTAGATCCCAGGTCCAAAAGCCATAACAGGATGGTCCGATCTGAGCTCGGATCCAGTCCTCTCGATGAGGATGACGGATGGTGTTCAGTTTGTTCATTTGTTCATTTCAACTTCGTGTAAAATGCACAAAACTGTTAGCAAAATGGAGAGGAAAAAAAGGCAATTCTGGAATCTGTGGTTTCCTTGACGTTTTTTAGAATTACTTTTGTTCACTATCATTGCATTTTGAATCAAACATCTATTTTCTCAGAAGATCGCCGTACACCAACCTCGCAGTAAGCATTGTTGTATTTCTCTGTTGGTGACTAGCGTCTAATTACTCCTTTCAATGTCACCCCTGAATCATATATTAAGGTCACAAGAATAAACGAAATGATCATCAATTAAAAAGTTATTGATTGCTATAAAATATCCTTGTTAGGAATTATAAAGGGAGAACAGGATGGAGAATATGCCTACTGATGTTGGATTGCACAGGGTTGATTGGTGGAATGCAGAAAAAAGGAAGTAAGATGTTTTCTTGAAAAATCATTGTAACTTGATTATAAACTGTGGTCAGTGATATCTACGGAGTATTCCTTCCACGAGTAAGAGACCAGAATTTTTTCATATCTCAAACGATTTTCCTCCACTATAAGAGCCTCTATAGCCTCGCACAATAAGCCGGGCCAATCTTTTAAGTGTCTTCGATCATGAACACAAGCGAATCTGAATGGACCAATACACTGTAAATGGCACCTTCTGCAATCTGTTCGCAATACGTTATGGACAATATGTGAAGCCGGAGCTTAACTGACTATGAAACTGAAAAGTATTAGTTTATTTATCCGGCTTAAATAATCCATTATAAAACAAAGAAATATCGAGGTAAATATGTAATTGACTGAAACAGTGGCCTTAGACGCGCTTTCCTTGTTTCACGTGTCTGCCAAGAGCAAGCAACAGTTTCTTTAGATACCAAAAGCGTTGGAATTTAGCCCAAGACTCATTACAGGCCAAGGAAGGTCTTGACAATCTTACAGGAGGTAATGTCCCCAGGTCTTTTTCCTCCACTACCACCTACCTGTACGAAGAAATGAAAGATATGAATAGAACTGTTTTGCGAATAG